CCTCGTCGGCCTCGCCGTTCCGCGGGGGTTGCCTTGGGCGTGAGGTCGGCCACGAGGTGCCGCCGTGAGCACCCGCATCTGTCGTTGTCTCTCTGTATGCGTGCGGGCAGGGGCGGGCTACTGGTACTTGCAGATGGCTGGGCCTCTGCTTCTTGAAGGATCGATCGATCGGTGCCCACCGTGCGATGCGTGAGATTCTGTGGAGGATGTGAGGATGGAGAATGCTCGCCCGCGAGCCGTGGCGGTGGCCGGGGGAGCTCGCCCGCGCCCCGTGGCGGTGGCCTGGGGCGAAGCTCATCCGCACGCCGACGCAGTGGCCGGCGGTGGGCGGGGCAGAGCTTGCCCACGCGCCGTCGCGGTGGCCGGCGGTGGCCTGGGACGAGGCCCGCTCGCGCGCCTCACAGTGGCCGGCGGTGGCCTGGGCGGAGCCCCCGTGCGCGCCCGGAGACGGTTTGCTGCGTGCGTAGCAGCCATGGCGGTGGCAACCGGCCGGACTGGCGAACTCGGTCATATCTCGAGCTGCGAGCGCGGGGTGGAGGAGCGGGAAGCGGGTTCGGTGGCGAGCTCGGCTTGGCCTGTAAGCTTGTTAAGCGGCGGGATGGAGGCTGCAGCGCTGCTCCGCGTGGGCGTCAATGGCGACGCCCGCGTTCGCGAGCAGGGAGCCAGGGAGAGCGAGCGAGGCCAGAGAGAGCCAGAGGGAGGGTGAGCAGAGTTCTGCGCACCGCCTCATGAAGCCTGCGCCGCCGGTTGCTCCCGATCTGGGACGCCATGGTGCTTGGCATCGGCATCGTCTCCGATGCCTCTCCACACTCACGTGCGTTCAGGTAAGGATATTTTGAACTTCTTCTACCGCGCTTAGACAACGTTAGAGTCTCAAGTAGACTGGAATGGTGTGGAAGGTAAAAAAGAACTTTTTAGTGGCTCATAGGTTAAAACTATTTTTTATAATAGCATACAGATAGAAAGACTCAAGACTCGAGTTCCGAGTTCCGACGAGGCAAAAACCGCTGATACAGCGCACGCGCACTGGAGCTGGAGGTCTGGAGGGTGGAGAGGCGGCCGATGTCGCAGAGGCTGTTGGTGGTGCCGTGCGTGCTGCCCATGCGGCGCACTGGGCCGCCGCTACAGCGCCGACGCGGCATGGCGTTAGCGGCCATGCCCCGCTCCCACGAGGGCCATGGAGCTGATGCAGCAAACCAGTGTCAAAATCAGCAGTCAATTCGTAACTCCTTGAAGCATTATTTGTTCAATTTGTGCCATGAATCGTGGCTGAGTTTTAGTCGCTGTATGTGTGGACTGACGCTGGCTTGCATCAAATGTGTTCTTGCTATTAACTTTCATCAAAGATTCTTATATTCCATCATAATAATGCCAGGTGTATAGTTATTCTCTTTTCTGACCAGATCAGCACTCACAATTTGTAGAAGTTCCTTCGTGAATCTGCAGTTACCGTGTTCTTGCAGGTTGCAACCCTTTCTCTTGTGTGTAGTAACAATGTGAAGGGTTCATCAACGCAAACAGAGAATTCGAGCGACCATTGTAACGCCCTGACTCGGGACGACAGCTAAGATCCACTTTATACGTTGAATGAACCAAACATGCTAATTAACTTTTTTACATTTTCGTCCTCGCTTCGCGCAAAAGGATCGATCCAGAGTTAACAGCCTCCCTGGTCCAGGCTTTTAACTTGGCTCAACTCTCCTCCGACTTCCAATATGGAACTAGACTTCGCTGCTACAGTATCCCCGAAGCTACAGTGACGCGAATTTGGTCTGGCCGACTGGCCCAATGGGCTGGGTCTCACATCCACCACTCTCAAAGGTTTCGACGTCCTCATCGAACGCTGAACCAAGCTATCTAGTAGGACAAATGTTCAGGACCGACTCTCTTGGCCATGTTCGTATTTTCAGTTTCCCAGCCCAAGTGTCATGCCCTCACACGAGCCATGCACAATCTGTCCACGCTTCCGGACCATATGCAATCGTGAAATCGCGAGAGTTGACTCTGATAACATTTGTAACGTCCCGACCCGAGAAGACGGCTAAGACCCGCTCTACACTTCAAATGAGGATTAACTCTCTTGCCCTTTCATTCTCGATTCATACAAAAGATCGATCCAGGACTTTTAACTTAGCTCAGCTCAGCTCTCCTTCGACTTTCAGTACTAAACTTCGTCGCTACAGTATTTTCGCGCCTGTACGGGACCCTCGAAGCTACAGTGTCGCGAATTCGGTCCGGCCCAACTGGGGCCAATGGGCTGGGTCTCACAATACTCCGTCTCCAGCATGCTGTCAGTTTCTACCTGTTTCCCTTGGTTGACTCGGGCAACGAAGAAAATCGCTCCGATCCTGTGAAGCTTCTAGCAAGTGTGCATGAAAGGGAGCATGGTGAACCATATGCGTAGATAAGTATGATGGTGTTGTTCGTTTGGAGCTACAGGCCTTATTCGTTTATGCTGAAATTTAGTTTATGCTGATGCCTATATTAAAATATTGTAAGAGAAAAACACTATTCCATAGCTAAAAAACAGCTCAAACAAATAGGGCCTATGACTTAAAAGTAGCTCAAGCAAACAGGGCTAAACTTGTCAGAGCTTGTGCTTTCATCGTTGAATTGAAAAGTTTTCATCGGTAGTCTAGCGCATCTTTTAGACTCTTTTTTACCAAATTCTTTTGGCACCCGCCATGTATGTTTGACTTGGTTTTATTTGGACATTTGAAATACACAAGTGCAAATACTGTATACATCCTGCCATTTCTGTTGTGCAGGGCCAGGTTAAAGGTGAGAACCAGGGAAAATTTGTCATGTTGCGTGGTTCATAGTAGAGCTCTGATCTGCATAGATGTTTATGCATGTTCTCCTTGTCCTTCCATGAAAGTTTTTTTGGCGCCTTGTTGCTGTTATGTTTGTTCTATTCTCCATCCCACGTACAAAAGGTTCTCCGCAGTCGCTGTCATGCGTCCGTTAGCGCGCACATGCCCAATGCGTGTTTTCTACAACAAGGCTGCACTTAGAATCTTGTTGGCAAAACTCTCTCATGATGTCAGTTTGACAATTTTATTTGTCAGTCTATTACGTGAGATGCGTTTTTTTATTTCACATATTTGCTTCTTGGTTGCCAATTCATGGCATTAGTGTACACACACACAGACAAAAATGAAATGAAGAAGAATCTACACCAGTAGTGACGAAAGCACCCCTGAAACGCTTTGGCTTTTGCGTAGCGGAAAGAGCCGAATAAAATGACGGCTTGGAACTTGCAAGTTGGAAAGCTTTGGCGTGTACCATCAAAGGGAAGCCATTTTTGGGCCGTGTATAGTGGGAAGCCCAGCAGTGGCCATGTATTTGCATGCCACCTCGGGTCTTTTCCAATTCTTTTTCCTTTTCCTTTCAACGAACACGCCAGACGCTGCATGTGGAAGCTCCATGTTCATGGAGCCATGGGCCCGGTTGCTTTGCCCATTTTCTTGTAAATCTTGTAGTACCGGTACTGTATAGTACACTAGTATAGACTAGCAATAAAGGACAAACCAAAATTTCCATCATGCTCGTGGTTTCCTCCAGCGGTACCTCGCCCCGTCCATTTTTTTTGACAAACACCTATGAAAGGCAGACTAGGGCGCGCACACAATCATCATCACGCCTATTAATCTCGATGAAATATTCACACTTATTAACCTCGACGAATTTTTAGCCTGATAAAACTATTATACGCGTATAGATATCTTGCTGTCGACAAACATTTCCCCTACTCCATCTACCTACAAAGAGAAGGACCTTTGGATTTCATTTATCCACAAATATAACTAATACTGAGGAATCTCCGGTGGCCAAATCTAAGCTGATATATAGATGCCTTGTAGATGAGAGAGACATCAAAAACTTGAGCCAAGCTGGAAGAGAGGAGCCAATTTCTTTGTGCATAACAATACATGAGACATACTAACTCCTCTATCTCTCTAGACATGAGAGAGGGAAAAATATATAAATAAGAATACCTTATACATGAGACATATAGGATGCGATGGTATTTAAAAGTCAATATATTCATACCAATTCTACAATTTTACATATGGTTTTCTGTTTAAATAATGGTTCCTATGCTGACACAACCAATAGTAATATCGGAGTGGCACTGGATACACTAGTAGTAAAAATAGAAGAGACACACTCTTTTGTTACTTCATGTGTGTTAGATCTCCTTGTCACCTCGCAACCAAACCCTCATAGTAAAAAGAATCCTCTATATACACAACAATTGTTCATAACTAAAGCATTTTTAGTTTCAACATACTCAGGAACTCTTAGATTCATAGAAAGAAAAAAATATACAAAGAAAATATAAGGTATGTCTCTTAAATCTGTAATTTTATATATGGTTTTTTGTTTTTATGTTCGCTGTTATAAACGGTAGTATCAGTAGCGGTAGTATATCAGGTGGTTCTCGATACACCAACATTAACTTTATAGATGGTTCTTGATACACCAACAATAACATAGAAAGAAAATGAGGTAAAAAGCACAAGATATGTACGTTAAACTTTAAATTTTATATATCTTTGTTTTTTTTTTGTTTTCGTTTGTTCCTCTGACACGATAGCGGTAATAAATGGGAGGGGTGGGCTGGTGGTAGTGGATCCAGTAGTAAAAATAGGAGGCAGACTGGCAGAGGCACACTCCCCTCCTCTGTCCCCTCCCTCTTATCTGAGTCGTCGGCCGCCCTTCTCCACTCGCAACCAAACCCTCGCACACAGCCGCAGCACCAAATCTCGTCGCCACCTCCGGGACCCCAAGCGCGCCGCCGCCGCTGGCGGGGACCACGAAAGGACGCGCCGACTCCGGATCTGCGACTCGCCGGGCTCCGAACGCACGCCACTGAACGGACGCGGGGCTTGTCTGCTCGATCGCACCCCCCGGAAAAAGGGAGAGGCAGAGCCCGCCGGATTTAACCAGACACACCGAACGCGCAGCTCCTCCGGGCCAGGGGCCGGAGAGAATCCATGCAGCCGAGGTCCCACATTCGGGGCCGTGACCCGCCGCCGCCGCCGCCGTCGGGAGGACGCTACCGTCGCCGATCCCCGGCCCCGCCGTCACCGCGCCACCAGCGCCGCCCGCGTGACCCGCTCCCTCCCCAGCCGAAGAGGCGCAGCTCCGAGCTGCCGCCGCCGCGGCGATACGAGGAGAATCCGAATCCCCTCCCCAACGGCTTCGCGGTCGCCGCCGCTGCCGCTGCCGCCGAGAGGCGTTTGCGCGGCGACATCCTGCTGGAGGCCGGCCGCCTGGCCGCTCACTACTTGGTCGCCAAAGGCCTCCTCCCCGAGCACGTTCTCCTGGCAAGGGAGGACCCAAATCACAATCCCAGTTACCGCCCCGAGCCCCCCGCTCCCGTTCCTGCTCCGGTTCCAGCTCCCGCTCCCGCTCCGGCTCCGGCTCCGGCTCCCTCCAGCTACGGGAGGAAGAGAGACGAGGACGACGGCCCGAGGTGGCGGCGGAGTGGAAGTGGAGCCGGGGATCTGGGCCGTGTCTCAAAGTGGGACGACGACAGGGAAGCCAAGAGGTCGGGGTGGGACAGGAGGAGCCACAGCTTTGAGGGGAGGCGCAAATACAACGATGGCGGTGGCGGTGATGCTGACCGGGGCGGCCGCCGGACACGTGACTACAATGAGCCAAGGAGACCACCAATGTCAAGGTCCTATTCGCATAACGATCGCCGGGCTTCTGCTGATGGCAGAGTAGACCGAAGGAGGAGAAGCAGGAGCAGGAGCAGAAGCAGGAGTAGGAGCAGGAGCAGAAGCAGGACCAGGAGCTACTACAGTGGCAGCAGGAGAGATCCAGATTTGCTTGCAGGCACTCGTGATTTGGATCGCACCAAGGTGCCAGACTCAAGTGTTGTTCCTGCTGCTGGTGGTGATGGAGGCGTGCACAATGCGGATGTCGATGAAATACCAAGGCAGCTGAAGGTTCCTAGTTCAGTGGTGGTTATGGAGATGAATGACAGTACTGTTGAAGCTGTGGCTATTGAAGATAAGCAGGTGGACTCAGAGACTGCTGGACTGGATCATGCTAAAGGCATGTCTGAAGGTGAGGACGGTGAGTTTGCAGAAGAGATTTATGAAGACGAGGATGGTGAGTTTGCAGCCTCTGACTTGAATGATGAAGATGATGATGAAATGGATGACACCCAGAGCCAACCGTCTGATGTGCATGTTCATATATCTGAATCTATTGAGGAACCTGTCCATAGACAGTCCCAGCTCAGCAATACTGAGGAGGGAATGGAAACTGGCATTGCACACATGGATGCATGTATGGTAGATCCATTGGCAGAGAACAATGTTTGCTCTGAAACAAGGTATGAAATGGAGGCTCCACAAAATGGAGCTGAAACTGCTGTTGGTGATCTTTATAGAGATGAACAAGAGCAACCATTGACAGAGGATAATGGTTGCTCTGAAGTAAAGTATGAGATGGAGACTCCACAAAATGGAGCTGAAACTGCTGTTAGTGATCTTTATAGAGATGAACAAGAGCAACCATTGACAGAGGATAATGGTTGCTCTGAAGTAAAGTATGAGATGGAGGCTCCACAGAGTGAATTTGGAACTGGTGTTGGTAATCTTGATAGAGATGAACAAGAGCAACTATTGGCAGAGAATAATAATTGCTCTGAAGTAAGGTATGATATGGAGGCTCCACAAGGTGAGGTTGAAACTGGTGTTGGTGGTCTTAGAGATGACCAAGCGCAACAATTGATGGTGACCGATGCTTACTCTGAATTAAGATATGAAACAGAGACTCCACAAACTGAAGTTGAAACTGTTGTCGGTGATCTCAGTAGGGATGAGCAAGAGCTGCCAGCTTGGTACAAAATTTTCGATCTCAATGTCATTGAAACTCCAGTGGGCTGTGAGGTTTCCGAGATTTCTTGTGGTCATCCAGTAGATGATCTTTGTGATTCTGTGCCTGATTTAGTTGGTCTGGTGAACCAACAAGCAAACGATGATACTTCAGAAATTCAAGGTCAAGATGATCATGCAGGGGCCAATCAAATGTTGGAGGATGAGTCTGATTTGAATAACTATGATCTGAACAATGAGGCCGGCGAACATGCACAGGATGATACTTCAGAAAATCAAGTTCAAGACGAGAATGCAGAGGATAATCACCTACTGGAGGATGGGCATGATTTGATGAAGTATGATGTGAACAATGAGGCTGGTGAGCATGCACATGATAATCACCTGGTGAACAATGCGGAAATACTTCTAAATTATAGTATGGTTGCGCATACTTCAGATAATTGCCATATGAACAATGAGAAAATGCTTCTAAAGCAAAATGTGGATGAGCAACAGATGGAGAACGAGCAGATGCTTATAGATCAGGTCAATACTGTTCAAGTTCTGGATAGTCACCATGTGAACGATGAACAGTTGCTGCTAGGTCATGGTGCGGATGATCATCACCAAATGGAGCCAAATCCCATGGCTTTTCCTTTGGGTGCTCATGATTTGGATAATAACTACTATCTGAGCAGCAAGCAAATACTTCTGGATAATGATGCAGACCAACATGCAGGAGATATACACCATTTGAAGGATGGGCAAATTATTTTAGATGAGGCTGCAGATGGACAAGCTAGAGTTCACAATATGCGCAATCGGCAAACAATCCCTGTAATTGATCTGGACGATGATTATGCACAGCAGTCTGCCAGCAGAAATACAGGAGAATATCTAGAATCCATGTAAGTTTTTTTTAGATTCTTTCTATGGTAGTCTTGAGCGGGAGGAAAATCCGTGACACCTGGACATGTTTGCTGTACAGAAGTGATACCTCACATAAATACACGGATAATGTTCTACAAGAACATATGTGTTCTCAAGAGTAGCAAACCTCAAGTTTTCCTGAAAATCTTCAGACTAACACACAAGCAGCTTCTTCTTCAACTGTCACACCAGATTTTCGAAATTGGTGTACTGGAAAGGATGCTGTGAATGCACAGGTAAGAATGCTATTTTATTTAGATACCTATCCTTATTCTTCTTGCATTGAGCAAATCATTTTCTTTTATAAGAGCATCAAGCAAAGCATTATGATTGGCATGTAAATTGTAAAATTGTTAGTAGATCACTTACTGTCTAATGCTAGGAGTTCGATTCTGATCTTGAACTCTTCACATGTTCAAGGCAAAATTCATGCTCATGTCTATTGTTGTTTGTTATTACTTGCAACTGTCGCTGTTCTTCTTGACTGCAGTCGGTAACATTGCATTAATCTATGTGATCCATTTCTTCAGGTGATTCCCATTTCCCAGTGATAATGATGTGCTGTATATTGGATTCAATAATATGTCATTAGGTGCGTACTCCCACTTCTTTGTGTTTTCCTTTCTCAGCATGCATACTCATTGTTCTTGCCATACTTACATATTCACGTCTATTTAGTCTGGAGGATGAAAAAGGTATCACCATCCCCACTTTATTGTGGTGTGGTTGTACCACACCAGCAAGTATATGATGTTCGAGAAAACATTGTAGATCTCTATTTATTTTCCAAACAAATAATGTTGGATGGGAATGCACTCATCATCAGAATTGTAATGTACTAGCCACAAACCCCCATGCTAGTTATGATGAGCTTTTTAGGCCAGAGCCGCACTTATGCATTAAAAATCTTACATGTAGCATTTCAATGCACATTGTAATATGTGTACTCTACTGAATCCACTGAGATTCATTACCATCTTTTGGAAGCCACAGTGAATAAATTAAACTTTATTGGACTCATCAATGTGTTATGTTTTTTAGATGCTGGTATGCTTGATATATTAGTTTTTTTTGCTATGCTAACATTTATGTGCTTGGCACTTGTAAATAGCAAAGGCATGAAATTTGTTCTTTAACTGAAGACGATGTTTAGTTGGAAACATAAAATAATGGGTTTATGCTGTTTTTAGATGCTTGAACTCTGCACGCATCCACATAGAGTTGAGACCTCCAGAGGCACCGGTGCATAGTGGAATCCTAAGTCAGGATAGTAACGTGAAGAGAGGCAGAGGAAGACCGAAGTTGACTTGGGTAGAGGCAATAAAAGGAGACTTGAAAGGATGGAATATAGCCAAAGACTTAGCCTTAGATAGGAGTGCTTGGAAAATAGCTATTCACGTGCCTGAACCTTGATTGCTTTTGCTGGGTTTCAACTTTAGCCTACCCCAACTTGTTTGGGACTTAAATGCTTTGTTGTTGTTGTTGTTGTAGTGAACCCTGGGTTGTATATATCTAAATGATGAAAATTGTTGTTTATTACTGATGAACAGGCATATTCCACTTTGGATAAATTGAAATCTGTTTTCTGAAATGAAGCAACCGAATGCTTCAAAGTCTAGTGATTTCTACCATTAGTTTATCTATATGGTTCGCTAGTCATGGTTCAGGTTGCCTTACTGCGTGCATGTGGTGCTGTTGGACAATAACAAGTATACTATTCAATTTTTCTGTTCCCTAATTTTTGAACAAAAAGCTCTTTTTTCTTATTGGATATCAGAGAATATTGCAGTTTACTTTGCTATGTAATAGCTGCATTTTCTGCAGTTTTGCTTTTGCCATCATCGCCATCTAACTTATTTCCTTCCCTTTGTTTTCCCTTGTTTCCTCAGATGTTATGAATGTCTAGGACCTGCCATCCTCTGAGCTCGGGAAATCCTTATGAGCCCTGGGACCTTTGCAGTTTGTGCATTCAGACCCTACACCAGAAGACTATGGGAAGACTGCATCAGACCGGTTGCTGAAGGAAGTTAGTCGACTGGTCATTGTTCTGTATGTTGTGCAGTAGTAATTTCTTTTAGATTCCTATTGTTCAAGTTTTTTTTTCTAGGGCTTCTCATTAACAAGTTGGTTTAGGTTCGTTTTAAGGATGACCTTAGGTCAACCTTCTGTGTTTGGCTTGATGCTTTTAGCTAGATTTGTATGTAAGACCCTCTCTCCTGTTTTAAATTAATTGAAAAGTCCCTCACTGTAGGGATCTCCCCCACCGTCTTTTCGGTCAAAAACAAGTTGGTTTTAGTGATACTTCTGACCCCCGAGATGTAGTTGCGATGTCAGTATGTCTCAGTAGCTGAATAGATCGGTTTTTTCACTAGAAATGATTCGGCCGTTTTGTGCTGCGCCTGCTCTTACTCTCCAGCTTTTCAATGAAACTGTGAAGTGCATAGAGAATATGCTTGACGTGCAGCTCGTCAGGCAGAGGCTGTTGCTTGCACGGGAGTAGCAATCCACTTCATTCGATTCTGACCTAGTACTCCGTAACTGAAGCATGCAGTACACATCTGCAGTAGGCGGGTTCCTGCCTTGTCGAGATAGGTGGATTTTTGTCCTCGATCTGCCGTTGCAGTTGACTTCACAGGGAAGCCGTTTGTGGCGTGATAGACGGAGCTATATTGTACACGGCATTTCTGGCGTGATCTCATCGTCTCCACGGCGTTTGGCCCACTGCCGACCACGATAGCTCTTGTCCAGATGTGCTTCGTTTGGCTCTGTGTTTTGCTGCCAGGAGACCCTTGCCGTGATAATTCAAAGGTAGAGTAACGTCTTTGTGAACGGGGCCCAGATGGGTTTGGTTCCAACGCCGGTGATGAGTACACAAAAGAAAGTGCCCTCGCTTTCGTGTACCAGAAAAAATGGCTGGATGGATCATGGATGGAACTGAAAGCCGGAGTGAGGTGCAGTCTGGGACTTTAGAATCACTTGTCTTTCTTCTCTCTTTCTTACAAAAAAGAAAGAAGAAGGAATCGCTTTTCTTTAGAAGCCTGGGCGAATTTAGTTCACCTTTCATATCGAGCCACGCTTCAAAAGCTATTCCTCCTGTTTATTCTAAAAAAAAAAAACACGAATCCGAGATGGTCCATGACCATTTATCTTCTTTACAAAGGAAAAAAAACCATTGTAATTGTTTAACTATCGGTTTTGTGTTTTTTGGTTAAAAATTCGATAAATACTTAATAAAGTTTATAAACCACATCAAATGTCTCTAAGACTCTAACATTTCCAATAAAAATAATAAAGATAGATTAAGATTAAATAAAATATTTAGAGATTCAAAATTGGATTTAGCTATTGAAAAAATGGAAAGGCATCTAGAAACAACTAGGAAATCCCTCAAACATTCTAATTGATGTTTAAATCAGTGGCGTAGCTAGGGTTTAATGCAAGGATGGTCCAACTAAATGTAATGAGCCAAATAATAGTGTTTTAAATACAATATTCATTATATTATAGAACACATATACTGTAGTTTTAACATTAATCCGTATTCTATGGTGGTCCATGGCACAACGTGCCACCTAGCTAGCTCCGCCTATGGTTTAAATGTGTTTTAAAAAACTTCTCACGACAAAAATATGAGATGCAATCAGCATAGATGCAACATACATTACTGCCATGCATTTTTGTGTCTTACATTTTTTTTTGTTGTGGAAAGTTTGCCAAATGCATTTAGACATCGATTAGAATGTTCTCGGAATTTTTTAGACTTTTTAAAATATTTTTTTATAGAGATAAATCTAAATTTTGAAAGGCGGTAGATATATTTTCATGAGATTTGTTGTATCCCAATCTATTTCTATTTTTTAAAACTTTGAAGAACTTAAAGAGATTTTCTGTGATTTAAAAAATTTACTCCCTCCATTCCAAATTATACATATCTAGAGAGCCCAAAACATCGTGTAATTTAGAATAGAGGGTCAAATAGTTATAATATTAAAAAAAAACCGCTTCCAAATCCATTTTTTTAGAGGAAGGTAGACTCTTATTAATTCATAATGTTTTTTTGAGAATTTTACACAGTACAACGTAGACGCTCGCAACACGCACGCACACTCACCCCTATGAACACACGTACGTAAACCCTACGCCTATGAGCATCTCCGAAGGACTGAGCCAACAGATCTTGAAATTCACAAAGTCACCACATGCGTTTCGCTGTCGACGAGGATGTCGTCTACCACTGAAAGCATAGTGCCGTTAAATCCTGGAATAAATCCAGGAAAATAAGAGCACCCTGCCAAGTCAAGGATTTGAACCCGGATGAACATGTTTTACCAAAAATAACTTAACCAACTAATCTATGATCAGTTCGCTAATTCATAATGTTTTGATGTACATGCAAAAATTTCTGGACGGGTATATTGGCTTCCAGATCCATTTAAAAGCAGGCTAGTCGTGTCTACCCGGACGTGGCCCCAAAGACAAAATCCCGACCCGAACCCGACCCAACCCAACCCAGCCCACATCCGAGGAGCCACCGCAACCGCATGCCACTGCGCCGCCTCGCGCCTCTCCTAGCGAGCCCGCGCCGCCGCCTGCGCTCCTCCCTAAACCCTAGCCTCGCCGCCATGTCCCCGGCCGCCGCTCACCTGGCCACGGCCGCCGACCCCGACGGGGACCTCTGCGCGAGCGCCGCGGGGTCAGAAGCGCAGGACCTCGATCCGGCCCCGCCGCTCCCGCCGCCGCCGGTGTCAGCGGAGGAGCGGGTGGAGCGCGCGTGGGCGCACTGGAGGCGGCTGGGGTCCCCGCGGCTGCTGGTGGCGCCGATGGTGGACAACTCCGAGCTCCCCTTCCGCATGCTGTGCCGCCGCTACGGCGCCGACGCGGCGTACACGCCCATGCTCCACTCTCGCATCTTCTCCGAGAACGAGAAGTACAGGTCCATGGAGTTCACCACGTGCAAGGTAATTGGTGGTTAGGAGTTTCCGACCCGCTACCGTAGCAACTGGGGTCTGATTTTAGCTTAAGGTGGATGATGTTGTGTTATGCCTTATGCTTAATTCGACATTACAATACAGACAGCTAGAATAATAGCTTTTCTGTAGATGCTGATATGGTTAGACAGTTTTGCAGTTTGATTCTAAAACACTTCCAGATTTAAGTGATAGTTCGGGATGGGCAGAATTTACTGAATTATTAGGCCCATGTTTGGACCGGTGAAACAAAGAACTGTTATGCTTGGTAACGATTGTTTGTACATTAGAGTCATTTCACAGTTACATGATTCAGTCGACAGTTGCGTGACTAGGTCTATTCTTCTGTTATTTTGCAGAGTTTTTTTTGTTTTGTTTTTTGTTATGAGTTGTATTTATCTTGCACGGAATGTAATGTCCATTGCACCTTATACAGGAGGACCGGCCACTTTTTGTTCAGTTTTGTGCCAATGATCCTGACATTTTGTTACAAGCTGCAAAGATGGTGGAACCATATTGCGACTATGTTGATATCAATTTTGGGTAATGTGTAATTCCTTAAGCTGC